GCACCTGTAGTCCCAGCTACTCGGGAGGCTGGGGCAGGAGAATCACTTGAACCTGGGAGGTGGAGGTTGCAGTAAGCGGAGGTTGCAGTGAGTGGAGATTGTGCCACTGCAGTCCAGCCTGGGCGACAGAGCAAGCCTTCGTCTCAATAAATAAATAAATAAATAAGAAGGTCAGGCTCGGTGGCTGTAATCCCAGCACTTTGGGAAGCTGAGACTGGGTGAATCATGAGGTCAGGAGATCGAGACCATCCTGGCCAACACGGTGAAACACCATCTTTTAAAAATAAATAAATAATTTTTAAAATAAAAATAATAAATAAATTAAAAAGACAGCAGAGAGATATCAAACAGACCGCATACGCAAGAGATGCAGGGCACTGTAGAGAGACAAACGGAAAAGTGAGAGGCTAAGGAGGAACAAATACTGATGCTTACATGGCACTCCCGATTTGCACACTGTTCTGAATGCCTCATTTAAGTCTCCCTATGAGGCAAAGCCATGTTTTTTGCTTTGGTTTGGGGGCTCCTGTTTGTTTCTTTTATAGACAGGGTCTCCCTCTATTGCCTAGGCTGGAGTGCAGTGGCACAATTCAAGTCTCACTACAACCTTGAACTTCTGGGTTCAAGTGATTCTCCTGCTTCTGCCCACCAAGTAGCTGGGACTACAGGCACCGTGCCTGGCTAATTTTTTTTTTTTTTTTTTTTAATTTTTAGTAGAGACAGAGTCTTGCAGTGTTGGCTAGGCTGCTCTTGAACTCCTGGCTTCAGGCCATCTTCCCACCTCATGCTCCCAAAGCACTGGGATTACACGCATGAGCCACCACACCTGGCCACAAAGCAGTATTATAATCACATTTTTACAGATGAGCAAACTAAGGCTCAGACAGGTGAAATGAGCTGCCCAAGATCACACAGCAACAGGCGGAGCAGGGATCTAAATTCAGACTCTGGGGCTACAGACACAGCACTTCTTTTATTCTTTTTTTTCCTTCCCCCAACCCCCTTTTTTTTCTCCTTTTTTTTTCTTTTTGTTTTTTTGGAGACGTGGTCTCGCTCTGTCTCTCAGGCTGGGATGGAATGGCATAATCACAGCTCACTGAAGGTTCAACCTCCTAGGCTCAAGTGATCCTCCCACCTCAGCCTCCTGAGTAGCTGGGACTACAGGCTGCACTATGCCCACACCTGGCTCATTTTTCTTTTTATTTTTGAGACAGAGTCTCTCTCTGCCACCCAGGCTGGAGTGCAGTGGCTCAATTTCAGCTCACTGCAACCTCCACCTCCTGGGTTCAAGTGATTCTCCTGCCTCAGGGTCCCGCCAAGCTGGAATTACAGGTATGCACCATCACACCCAGCTAAATTCTCCCCCTTTGGGGTAGGGACAGCAACCCCAGGCATGTAGCCTCCCAACCCACCAGACCTAATACCCTAACATCCTGCTGACAGTGGTGGCTGTTCTCGCCGGGCTGGCGTCCCAAAGCACACCGAGCCGGATTCCGGCAGAGTGGAAGTGGCCTGAGTGGTCCTACCCTGAACGGGGTCTCCCCAAGGCGATGCAGAAACTGGGACCTGCTCTGCTAAGCATGGGGTTGGCTGGAGTGAGGCTTACAGGCGGTCCCCACATGCGGATTAAGGTGTCAGCTCTTTGATCCCCACGCTCTTCCCATCACAGGCTGACCAGAGTCTGCCCCAGGGCCCAGCCATGAACACAGAGGGGGGGAGAGAGAGGGAGAGATGGAGAGACTCAGAGGTCCTGAGAAAGACGAGTAGTGAGAGATGATGGAGAAAAATACATAGAGACCCCGAAGAGAGATGGAGAGAAAGAGGAAGAGACAGAGAGATACACAGGGATGGCAGAGAGACTGGAAAACAAAGACTGGAAAGAGAGCCACTGAGAAAAGGGAGAGACAGAGACGTCCGGAGAGAGGAAAGGCAGGAGACCCTAAAACAGAGAGAAATAAAGAGAACGGAAATGAGAGATAGAGCGACCTGAGAGAAAAAGAAAAAGGGAGAAGAAAGACAGGAAGAAACAGAGAAATCCAGTCTAATTAGAAAGAGAAACACTGAGGCGGGAGCATCACTTGAGCCCAGGAGTTCAAGACCAGCCTGGGCAACATATTGAGACTTGGTCTCTAGGAATACTTAAAAAATTAGCCAGGCGTGGCACTGTGCACCTCTAGTCCCAGCTATTTGGGAGGCTCAGGTGGGGAGATCACTTGATCCCAGGGGGTCGAGGCTGCAGTGAGCTGTGACGGGGCCACTGCACTCCAGCCTGGGCAATAGAACAAGACGGACAGAAGGGAAGGGAAGAGAAGAAAGGGAAGGTGGGGGGGGGAGGGAAGAGAAGAAAGAGGTGGAGCACGGTGGCTCATCCTAGCAATTTAGGAGGCTGAGGAGGGAGGATTGCTTGAGACCAAGAGTTGAAACCAACCTGGCCAACATAGCAAGACCCTGTCTCTATAAAAAATAGAGATGGGCCAGGCGCGGTGGTTCACGCCTGTAATCCCAGCACTTTGGGAGGCTGAGGCAGGCGAATCAACAGGTCAAGAGATCAAGACCATCCTGACCAACATGGTGAAACCCCATCTCTACTAAAAATACAAAAATTAGCTGGGCGTGGTGGCGTGCACCTGTAGTCCCACTTACTCAGGAGGCCGAGGCAGGAGAATTGCCTGAATCCGGGAGGCGGAGGTTGCAGTGAGCCAAGATTGTGCCACTGCACTCCAGCCTGGTGCCTGGTGACAGAGTGAGACTCTATCTCAAAAAAAAAAAAGGATACAAAAAATTAGCTAGGTGTGGTGGCACGAACCTGTAGTCCCAGCTACTCGGGAGGCTGAGACAGGAGAATCGCTTGAACGCAGGAGGCAGACGTTGCAGTGAGCCAAGATCACACCACTGCATTGCAGCCTGACACAGCGAGACGCTGTCTCAAAAATAAACAGAAATAGGGAGGAAGAAAAATGTGCATTCATTCAACAAATATTTACTAAGTGCCTACTGCTGTGCTAAGCACTATTTTAAATGCCGGGATACAGAAGTGAACAAGACAAAATCCCTGCCCTAGAAAAGCCAGCATTCCAGAGGACAGCCTACTGGAGCAAAACAGAAGAGTCAGGAGTTGGGGAGAAAGCCAGAGGCGGTAATAAAGAGGATCCATTGGCGAGCCTGTCAGAAAGGGGTGGGGTAGGGCCGGAGGAGGATGCAGCTTACTGCGCCCCACTGTGCCCCCACTGTCAGAGCAGTCAGCAGCTCTGAGCAGGGACTGTGCCCTACAACCCTTGCCAGTCAACAGGTTCCAGAAAGGCTGACAGGTAGGAAGACCCACAGGAGAGACAAAGGGAAGCACAGTCTGGGAGAGATACGGGGAGAGGAAGACACAGACATACTGAAGAGAGAGACAGAAAACAGACACGAACAGAGGCCCAGACTGACAGAAAAGAGAGAGAAAGGGACAGAGAGATGAACACAGAAACAGAGACTGAGAGTGAGGGCGGCTGGGGGCGGTGGCTCACGCCTGTACTCCCAGCACTTTGGGAGAGCAAGGCAGAAAGACTGCTTGAGCCCAGGAGTTGGAGACCAGCCTGGACAGCACAGTGAGGAAGGCTGGATCTTGCCAAGCAGGGACAGGCAGGAGGGTGGGCCACATTCCTCAACAGTCTGCTCCAAATACAGCCCCACCCTCACCGCTCCCACCACCCCAGCCCTGGCACATCCAGGCGTGAGTCTGCCCCCTCTAGCCCACACCCTAGGATTGGGGGAGGGGGCGGATAGATGAGAGAATGAGGGATAAGTGTGTCTGCCGTCATGGCCTGGGACTGCGTCAGATAGGGACTGCGGGAGTGGACACTGGAGGTTCAGCAGCATGGGCACAGGACATTTGGGGGTATCAAGAGCCAGTGCCTTGGGAATAAAAATGGTAGATTCAGGGCAGGACATGATATGGAAGTACAAGGGGGTCGACACGCAGAAAGGTACCCTGAAGAAATGTCTAGACACAGACGTGCCAGGCTGATGGACGTCGGAAGCCAGAGAAATTACAGGAGAAGCAGGGGGATAAGCGTAGCACACAGGGTCCCAAGAGCAATGGAAGTGACAAAGGCTCAGGTGTGAGTTCCTAGGAATCCTAGGCATGGGGCGCGGGAATGCCAGGGATATCTTTATTTATTTACTTATTATTTTTTATAAAGACGGGGTTTCACTATATTGGTCAGGCTGGTCTTGAATTCCTGACCTCAGGTGATCCACCCGCCTTGGCCTCCAAAGTGCTTGGATTACAGGTGTGAGCCACCACGCCCGGCCTATTTTTTATTTTTTGAGACAGTCTCGCTCTGTGCAATGGCGCAATCTCGGCTCACTGCAATCTCCACTTCCTGGGTTCAAATGATTCTCCTGCCTCAGCCTCCCGAGTAGCTGGGATTACAGATGCCCACCACCAAGCCTGGCTAATTTTTGTATTTTTGGTAAAGATGGGGTTTCACCCTGTTGGCCAGGATGGTCTTGATTTCCTGACCTCGTGATCCACCCGCCTCAGCCTCCCAAAGTGCTGGGATTACAGGCGTGAGCCACCGTGCCCAGCCTTACGGGTGTCTTTAGAAGTGTATTTGAGCTGGGTGCAGTGGCTCAAGCCTGTAATCCCAGCACTTTGGGAGGCTGAGGCAGGCTGATGATCACCTGTGGTCGGGAGTTGGAGATCAGCCTGGCCAACGTGGTGAAACTCCATCTCTACTAAAGATACTAAAAATACAAAAATTACAGGTGTGGTGGTGCACACCTGTAATCCCAGCTACTTGGGAGGCCAAGGCAGGAGAATCTTGAACCTGGGACTCGGAGGTTGCAGTGAGCAGAGATTGCACCACTGCACCCCAGCCTGGGCAACAAGAGCAAAAACTCTGTCCAAAAATAAATAAATAGTGCTTGCTTTGGCCGCACATATACTAAAAATTGGAACGATACAGAGATTAGCATGGCACCTGCACAAGGATGACACGCAAATTCATGAAGTGTTCCATATTTTTTCCTTTTTAATTAAAAAAAATTTTTTAAAAAGGAAATAAGGAGAAAGGAGAGGGAGAGTATCAGTAGCATTTGAAGGTCAGAGTGTATTCATGAATCAGAGGGACCGGGTATAGCATTCAGGGGGCCCACAGGTGGCTCAGAGATTGAGGAATACACCTACAGGCCAAGTAAGTTGGACTCAAAGGTGCTAAGGGCTCAGGATGGTGCACCTGTTGGCTGGGTGTGTTAACATGAAAATGCTGGTGCCCCAAAGTTGCTAAGTAGGACAGGCTGAGGCAGGCACACACACACAAAAGCCAGGGGAGCCAGGGCACAGTTCCACCAGGGCTGGGGACAGGGTGGAGACCTCAGGTTGGGGAATACACACAATGAGCAGCCAGAAGACGTCCACTCCTCCCACTTCGGGTCTCCACCCCTAAGACCCCTCGGAAATCAAATAAAGGTGAAGGGGTGCAGGCGTGGAGAACTGCAGGCATGATGATCAGGGGATCTTGGCGCTGCTGTTATGGCTTCTGGTGCTGGCGCTGGCATGGTGGGGGTAGGTGGGTGCGGCGCTCAGATGCAGGGGTCCCTACCTCCCCGGCCCAGGCCGCTCCCATTGCTGGGAAACTTGCTGCTGCAGTCTGGAGGCCTGGACCGGGCACTCCTGGAGGTAACCCCACAGAAATGGGGGAACAGAATTCTGAATTCTTGGAGGCAGGGCTGGGGACTAGAACACCTCCTGAATGAAGACAGCTGAGGGCTTGTCCTCTATGATCCTGAGGAAGGACAGGAAGGATGAGTGCCCCGGACTCCTGAGTTCTAGGAAAGGAGCCTAGCGAGCTTGGGACCAGGACACTGGGTCGCAAGGGAGGAGCCCAGAGCAGGAAATCAGGTTGTGGGAAGAGGAAGCAAAGCAGGTCTGTTCTCCTGGTTCAAGGCGGGGAGGCCGAGTACTGAGGGTCCAGGAGTCCAGCTCTGAGGGTGCAGGAGGCTGGAAGTAGGACTTCTCGGTCCCACGGGAAGCAGGAAGAGGGGACCTGGACTCCTAAGTCTCAGGGAGGAAGGAGCTGGGGATCTGAACTCCTGACCCTGAGGAATGAGGGGCTGGCGCGAGGGGGAACTCCTGGGTCTGAAGGAAGAGGGAGGTGGGGGCGAGGGCTCGGATGAGGAACCCGATGGGCACCTGCTGAGCACCGGCCGCTGGTGCTCTCCGGCCGCTGGGACCCGGTGCTCGCAGTGTGGCTGGGCCCGCGCTCTGCAGTGGCGCTGTGTGTGCGGCTCTGCAGCGCAGCGGGACGCGTTGGTGCTACCGGCCGATGCCTTGTCCGGCCGCAGGTCCATGGCCATCTTCGAACCCTTCACACGAGTTAACGGTGAGGCCCGGGCGCTGGACGTCCTGGCTGGGATGCTCCAGGATGGGCCCCTAAAGGTAGAGGTGGGAAAATGGAGGCAGGGCCTGACAGAGACTCCAGCCCACCAGGTGCCCACCGCCGAGAGAGGGCGGGGAGGCGCTAAAGCAGGTTCGAACCCAGCTTCACCCCGCAGCCGAGAAGAGAGGAGAGCCTAAGACTCAAAGCCCGAGAGCCTTCGGGTACAGGTCAGGGATCGAGACCAGCAAAGGAGGGACCAGCGTATGGATACGGCACTTAGCGGTCTGGTAAAGCAAAGCGAAGGAGGGCGGCCGCAGGGGTCGGAGGCCCAGAAAAGGATGTAGCTAGTGACCCGGCACTTCCTGGATGGGGCGTGGCCAACTCCTGGGCCCGCCTCTTTTCCTGTCACCCTGACAGGAATCTTGTTTTCTAACAGGACGCGCTGGCGGACACTGCGCAATTTTGCACTTGGAGCGCTGGATTTCGGATTGGGTACGCGGAGCATCGAGGCGCGCGTCCTGGAGGCGGCGGCTGGTCTGCTTCAAGCCACCATTGGTGCGGCCTGGCCGGGAGAGCAGAAGGGCCTGGTGTGGGTGTGGCCCTTGGACTGCCAAGGTGGGGCCCGTGGAAGGTGTGTAGCTTTAAGCAAGCCAGTAAGCCCAGGGAGCTGGCTGGGGGCCGGACCACACGTTAGGACCACCGTCCTGTTCCCACCCCCGGGAGCCAGGCTTGACCCCATGGGCGACTGGATAATGCTGTATTCAATGTTATCTGTTCTTGTCTTCAGGAACCACTATGGTTACGGGGACCCCGAGTTTCTGATGCTCTTGAACCTCTTCAATGACACCTTCCACATCATGAGTTCCAGACGGGGCCACGTGACAGGGCTGGCCACAGTCTCTCCCTTTTGAGTCCAGCCTTATGCCAAATCACGAGTATGCAAACCTACCTACAGTGGATCGTTAGAGTGGGACAGTGAGATTCTTGGAATGGAAGAGTTCTAGAAACTCCAGTATCAAAGTCCTGGTCCAATCTCCCTAGTCTAAGGAAACTAAGGCCTACTGGCTTCGTCCAGGGCCCTTGTTGAGACCCTATCTCTCCAGATGATTTTTCCCGTCTCTCATGGACTGGCTCCCTGGCCGTACCTCCTAATCTCCTGAAACTTTGGAGCTGCAGGTCTTCATCTCTCAGCAAATCCAGTGACACCAGATGTGGCAGCCGGTGGAGACTCGCGATTTCATCGATTGCTTCCTCGACCAGATGGCTAAGGTATATGTGGATCCCAGCTCCCTAAACTCTGTCCATACTGCCCACCAAGTGCCTAGCACACGACAGTGTGTCTCCTCTGCCCACAGCAGCAACAGGATCCAGGAGGAGACGTTGGTAATTACACCGTTTTTTTTTTTTTGGCAGCACCGAGACCACGAGCACCACCCTGCACTATGGGCTCCTTAATCTACTTAAGTACCCAGAGGTAGCAGGTTTTCGAGCTGGAGAGACCCAGAATGGGAGGCTGTGGTTTGGGGATGGCTGGAGGGTCCCAAAGTGCGCAGCTCACAACCACCCCTGGCCCCCCAAAAAGGTGCATTGGAGCTGGACACCGTGGCAAGGCGGCCGCGCACCCCAAGCCAGGATGACCACGTGCACCTGCCCTACACCAATAGAGTGCTGCTTGAGATCCAGCGCTTCATCAGCGTGGTGCCACCGCGCGCCCTCATTCGCGACACCTACCTGCGAGACCACTCTGGGGAGCCCACCGACTCTGGGGATCCTGTTCGGGGCCCGGGTGCACAAGCGTGTATTCCGAGATCAGCCAGAACGGGAGGGCGTGCACTGTGCCGACTGAAGCAGTTATCCCTGGAGCAGGAAGGAAGGCCCACCTTCCCTTAGCCTTTTTTTTTTTTTAAGACAGTCTCTGTTGCCCAGGCTGGAGTACAGTGGTGCAATCTCAGCTCACTGCCACCTCCGCCTCCAGAGTTCAAGCGATCCTCCTGCCTCAGGCTCCTGAGTAGCTGGGATTACAGGCACCTGCCACCATGGCTGGCTAATTTTTGTATTTTTAATAGAGATGGGGTTTCACCATGTTGGCCAGGCTGGTCTCAAACTTCTGACCTCAAATGATCCACCCTCCTCAGCCAGAGTACTGGGATTACAGGCGTGTTATCCACTCGTCTATTCGCTGGGGCTTTTAAAAAGGGTCTTGGATGGAGGTGGTGTACGTGCTCACCAAGTCCACAGGTAACCTGAGTTGCACATACCCCCAGGGCACCTTTGATTCCCCTGCTTGTGACTATGCACCAGGACCCACTCAATTCAAGAACCCAGACTGCTTCAACCCTACCAACTTCCTGGACGACAAGGGCAAGTTCCAGGGCAATGATGCTTTCATGCCCTCAGGTGCCAGGAGAGGAAGGGGACCAGCCTGGACCGGCTCAGGGGTACATGGTGATCATTATGTACCCGTGTACCCGGGAAAGCAAAGGTACCTGGGCACAGGCCTGGCCCACTCAGAGATCTTCCTCTTCCTTACCGCCATCTTACACAGGTTCTGCCTGCTCCCTGTGGTAAACCCTAGCTCCAACAACCTCGCCTGCAGTGCACTGGCCTGAGCAATGTCCCCCAGCCTTCCAGCTCCAACTAGTGGTCTGCTGAGGTCGGGCTCCACTATGGTGGGCTTGCTGGCCCTCAAACCTCCGCAACCTCCCTGGTCAATAAAGGCCCTAAATTGCAGATGGAGTCAGATGTGTGCAGCTCTGAGGTAAACTTTTATTTCTTGGCTGATAGGACTTCCACACCCATGCTCCTCCTGGCACCTTCTACTCTGCCCAAGCAGTGGCAGCCCAGTCGCAAAGGTGCCTGCCATGGCCACAGGGGTTGGGGAGTCACTTCACATTCCAGGCTGGACGAGTGAGAGGGCTTGGGGGTACTCCCCCCACACCATTGCCAGCAAGAGGCCATGACTCACCGCAACCCCAAATCCTGCCTCCTGGTGGGAAGTGACAATGCCTCCTCCCAGCTCTCCACACCTAATGGGGTCATGACCAGACAGGGTAGGACCCAGGCCCCCAGCCTCAGTTGGTAATGGTGGCCTCCAAGGCTGCCCCCGGTCCCGGTCACAACCCCAGCCCCCATCATGGGGCAGCAGAGGTCTCTTCTGCTCCTTGGTCCTCAGCAACAGACAGAGCCTTCCACGCCAGGCAGGACAGAGGCAGAGTCAGAAGCAGCAGCGGTGGCAGGGAAGGAGCGGCCAGCACGAGCGCAGGGCTCTCCTGAAGTCAGGGCAAGCTGTCTGCCATGCGGCTCTGGTACCCGGCCACTAGGTGGGCGTAGCCGGCTGAGATACAGGTACTTGGACACCTTTCTGTCCTGATGCTGGGGGTGAGAGGGGACAGGAGATGGTGAGTCATCAGGGAACGGACGAAAAAGCCAAGGGAAACCTGGGGAGATGAAGAGAGGACGAGGAAGAAATGGGGCTCCTGTTGGGGTACCAGGAGAGTGGGGTGTCTAAGGAAGGTGGGCAGAGATGAGGAAAAGTGAGTAGTGGGATTTAACGAGAGGCTGAGGGGGATGGGGTGGCGTGAGGCCCAACAGGACCCACAGAATAGGAAGGACTGGAGGGAGGGAAGCAGATACCTAGCTGATACTTGTCTTTGGCTGCTGCCCGCTCCTTGGCATCAAAATACCAGACAGTGATGGCGTACCTGGGGACCAGGGTGGTTGGACATCAGTTTTCTGCAATTCCAGCTACCATCTCCACACAGATGGTAGGAAGCCATCCTTTTGAGCCACCTGGTTCTGCTCCCACCTAGGCCCCTTCTCAGTACACTTCATCACTCCCTAGTCACTCTGGGGCTCCGGAGGGACACCATCACAAGGGGAGCAGCTGGATGCATCCCCAGAAGTACAGGTCATACCTGGTGGCATACGCTGGCTTCACCTCGTGGGGATTCCGCCGGTCAGACCAGAAAATGAGCAACCGGTCAAAGAGTGGCTCGATGTTGGCTACCACCGGCCGGCCCTCAGGGAAGATCTGCAGCAGGCCTCCATGCACCTGGGGGCGGGCCAGAGGATGAGGCTGGCTGGTCCCACCCAGAGCCGCTACCTCCCACGGTGCCCTGGGAGCCCACCAGAGGGCGCAGCGTCTGCCCACATCACTCCCTCCCACTACTCAGGCTCTCAAAATGAATGACTACCCAGAGTCTGCATCACCATGGAGATGGGCAGGAAGCTACTAAAGACAGGAAAAGGGGGAAAGTGTTCATTACAAGGCCGGGTGGGGCTGGGCAGACAGCACCATTCCCGGAAAGAGGGGAGTTCCCACCACACAGTCAGCTAGAGAGGAGGAGGTGCCATTTCCCAGGAAGAGCCGGCAGATCGCACCGCCCGCTGTGGGTTGAAGAGGAACAGGAGAATGCCAGAATCTGGGCTGAGAGTGGAAAATGGAGTGGATGCACGCCACCCCTGCCCGGCCCCAGCCCCGGCCCCGCCCTCGCCCTCGCCCCTACCTTAACGTCCCAGTTCTGATTCAGGTAATAGATACAGGTGATGCAGCGTCCATCGCCGTGGGGATTGTCAACGTGCCTTACGTACCCGAGCCCGTTGCCTGGGTAACACGCCACCATGGCCTGGCAGGGATGGAGGGAGGTAGGTTTACTGGGGCCAGGCAGGCACTTCTTGGAGAAGCAGCCATGAATTACCTATTTTCCCCCCCCCCCTTCCCCCCCCCCGCCCCGTCTTCCCCTTGATTCCGTGAATATCCTGGGATCCAAGCTCCTGCCCCAAAAGACTTTGTCCTTTTTCAGCCAAAATCCCATCCCCAAGTCCATCAGCAACCTCAGCTCCTGGGCCTCAAGAGCCCACTCCCTCCCACACACATACCTGGGGCCTGGTACCCAGCTAGGGCTCAATGAGTAACAGAGGATTTGACTGTTTAAGATACCCCAAATCCCACCTCAGCCATTTCAGTAGAATAATACCAATTTAAACATTTTTAGAAGTGCAGGGAGGTGGTCTCACAGCTCTAGACCTGGGGTTCTTACCCTTGGCTGTGGAGTGGAACCCCTCGAGGAGCTCTGAGGTTCTAATGTACCCAGCCTAAGGAAAGGCCTGAAATCTGTAAAAGCTCCCAGGTAATTTCTACTATACAGCAATGTTGAGAACTGCTGCCCTGGACTACAAAGAATCCCCACTAAATTATCTGTCCCATATACATCTGAACAGGAACCAAAACCTAGAATCTGAATAGAAAGTGAGATTTAAATCCAACTCCAAGGATAATTTGCTGGGTAGCCCTCGCCAGTTCCACCTGAATGGGCCTCAACTGTCTCGTGTACAAGACTAATAAACACTTCTCTGTTTACAGCACTAGCAATTCACCCCTCTGAGAACACAACTTTGGAGGTTCTGGACTCCCATCCCCCTGTAGACCTAACAGGACTCATTCCAGGACTTGGTTTCTCTGTCTAACAGGGTTCTTTCCATGCTTCAGCCGGGGCTCCGGGATGTCTGTCATCAGGGAGCTGGCAGAAAGGTGGCTGAGAGGTAAAGGAAACAGCCCAGCCACCTCTGCAGGCCCAATTCCCTGGTTGGAGTCTCAGTGCTGACACATGAGCTGTGACATCAGGCAGGCAACTTCCTGGTCTCAGGTTCCTCATCCATGAAATGCAGCTGACAGCTATGTCACAGGTTGTGTAACAAGCGAACAAGATAACAAGTGTCTGGGAAGACAGCCAGCACAGTGCCTGCCACACGGAGAGCCGGAGCTCGGGCTGAAATGCCATTTGAAAATAAAAAAGGTCCCTGTCCCACCCTCTGCCCAAAGTCACTGCAGTGGCAAGATGAGGTAGTAGACAAAAAGGGGAGGACCAGCACAAGGACCCTTCAGCTTCTCCCCGGCCTGGACCATCTGCCTTGACCTCTCTGCCCCAGTACAACTCTGCCGGCTTCCGCTCCCCACCGATCCTCAGCTACACCTATGGGCCCAGCCCAGCAAGACAGCCCCAAGATAAACATTCGCGATCAAACATCAGTGGCTGCGGCCACAACAGGATGCTTGCCAAGCACGCACACCACGGCAGGCTGCGCAGCTTCAATCCTCACCATCCCCAGGATGCCTCCCAGCACATTATCCCAGGGCTAACCCCTCTGTGGGTGCTAAGCTGCTCTGCATTAACCATGTGCACCTGATCCACCACAGACTCTGCCCTGGAAAGAGAGGGCTGCCACCGTCTATGGCCACCTAGCAGGGGAAAGCCAACAACCTTCTCTCTGGCATCACCAGAGTCCAATTAGTGACCAGGCCGCCAGGGAAAACCCTAGCTGCTGCACCCCAAGGATGAGGAGGGGGCACCTTCTCTGCACTGCTCACTCCCTGCAGATGGGTCAGCGCTCTGTGCAACCACGTCACTGGGAGAGGAGAACGTGGCCATGGCCCAGGAAGCTCAGAAGCAGTGAGGTGCTGACTAGAGATGGGCAAGGCCTCTCCAGTTAGGAAGCCAATCAGAGATCATGCTGATGATGCATGTGAATGGCTGAGGGGGAGGGGCCGAGTGCTGCACCCTCCTCCTGCCACAATTCATCCCCACACGGCAGCCAGAGCCCCTGTCTCCAGGTCTTCACTGCATCCTGAGAAAATACAAATTCCCAGCCACAGCCACCAAGGCCCCCAACCTCATGTGCCACTCCCATCACTCTGGGCCACGCCTCAACAGGCTGAGCTCATCACCCCCACAAGGCCTCTGCACTGGCCTGGGACACTCTTCCTTCTGGCCCTCCTTTTTGTTCAGGACTCAGAGGTCAAGGGTCACCTTGAGTACTCCAGCTGATTAGCAACATGGCATCAGCAGAGGTACCTGTTTACCTAGTACTGGCCTGGAAAGCAGCCACAGGGAAGCCCCTGGGGCCAGGTGGGTATCCCCAGTGCGCAGTGCAGTACCTGCTGACCGAGCGTACGGCTCTGGGCCTCCTCTGCACCCCAGCCCTGCTGTGTTCCCTCCTGCCCTGTCCATTCTCACACAGGACCTCCCACCAAGCACACAGGACTCACGCAGAAACAGGAACCTGCTCCTTTAGGGCCCCACCCTTCCCCCACATATACACACCTTGAGGGTGAAAGCCTCTGGCCCCAAGAAAGCATCTACTTCCTGCCCTCATAAGGGAAAGCCTCAGGAGACTTTCTCTCCAACCATCCCACCTAGGGGAGGGGCAGATGGGACCAGAGCCAGGAGACTGAAGACTTAAAGGCTATTGGTGACAATGTGTCTGCCAAAAGCCCCATCATCACTACACACATATGCCAGTCAGAAGCCTGTGACTGAACCAATGACAGCTGGTCCCACCTCCAAGCTGCTCTTCAAGGAGCAAACCAAGCAAGCTGGATCCTCCCTGGGGTCCCCTCTGGTACCCCTTGCTGCTAGTGGGAGTCAACCCTCTCCCACCTACAGGTCAACTGAGCACCTGTCCCCAACCAGGGAGTTAGGGGAAGTTAGGACACAGGAGCTCCACTCAGAACAACTGAGAAGCAGGTTGCCACTGGCTCTGGCCCCACTGGTGACCCATGTTCCCATGGCAACTGCTGCAACCCACCTCAGCACCCCACGGCCTTGCTCCACGGTCCGTGAGAGTGTCCAGATGGAGCCCTCTAAAATCGGGAAAGCCTGGAGTTGCCGTCTCCCTGGGGAGGGGAGGACTCCTCCCCTACGTTCCCAGTCCAGCCTGGCCTGTCCTTACCTCCCTAGGGCAATTAGGGTCCCTTAGGGCTACAAAAGTCCCAACCCCACTCCCCGTTCCCAGTCCTCACAAGGGTCCTGTCCCCAGCCACGTGAAAGGTGGGCATCAGAGGCACCAAAAGACAAGAGATCTCCCCTCCTCAAACTGGCACAGACATGCTGGGGAGGTAACCTGGTTTTCCTGTTCCGTGGATAAGCAAACTGAGGGTCAGAGTAGTGTCCCATCTGGGCCACTCAGCCCTTGTGGTCTGCCCCCAGCGAGGACGGCCAACCTGGGGTGAAGATGCTGAGCCAGGGAGGCCACTGATCCCGCTGGCACAGGAGCCAAGCCCAGGGAGGGGCTGGCTCTGGCTCAGCTATCAAGTAACAGGAGGGAGAGGGAAGTAGAACAAGTTCCAGCTGGGGTGGGGAGGAAACAGTCCTTGGCCCCAGGGAAGCCCTGGTCCCTGAGCCAGCTCCAGCCTGAGAGGAAAGCCACACAGAGGCAGAACCCAAGATGGGATCTGCAGGAGAACGAAGGGGACATCAGGAGCTCAGCCTCACGCCTGCAGGGCACAACACAGCCCGTGCCATCAGCCAGCTGTGCTGAGCAGCAGGCACTCCCCACGGGCCCTTGTCCAAAGGACACCAAGCCTTGGACTCAAGGCCAGGGCCCCTACACTGCCCATGAAGAGAATCATTGTGTCAGCAGGCCGGAAAGGCACTGTGGACCACTTCCTGTGTTGGGCTCCTGACCCCACGTTCCTGAACAGGTAGCTGCAGGCCATGAGGCCTCGACAGCTGTCCATAAACTCCAAGCAAATGAGCATTTGGCTTAAGAGAGGATCTGTGGCCTCTGACAGTGTCTCAAAAAGACCCAGGCTCCAAAATACAATTTAGAACTATTGTTTGAAAGCAAAAAGAAAAAGGGACTAAGAACGAACAAATTAAGGCAGAGAGAAGAGAGCAGAGTTGGTCAGGGAAGAAGTGACACACAGGACGGGGGAATGGAAGGCAGGGACTCGGACAGGGACTGGTGGGAGAGATGGGGACGAGAGCTCCACCCAGGCCAGCAGGCAGCCACCCAGTGCCACCCCCGGGAGGCTGTCCTGGATGCAGACGCCACAGTGGGGACCCAGGGTACAATGCAGTCCAGGCCCAGGCACTCAGCCCAGCACCCCTTCCCTTACCTTAGCCCAGGGCTCACTCCTCACAGCCACCTCCCCCTTCTGCTTCTCCTGCCTGGGAGACAGGATGGACGCCCAAGGGACACGGGCCAGCAGACAGAGAAGGACGGATGCAGAAGCACAGGGAAGGGCTGACACCAACAGAGGGCGGACAGGTTAACTGTGTGCCTGTCTACATCACCGTTCTTGGTCGGGGGCCTCAAACAGACACCAGGAGGCCGTAAACCCCACTATGGCCCATGCTGTGAATGTCAGCAGCTCTCATGAGGTTCTTCAAGAGGGTTCCTGGCAAAGTCAAGAACCACTGTGGCTCCAGGCCAAAACTCCTGGCTTACAGGTGCACACGTTAAGGCCCATAGGGAGGACAAAGACACCACCCCCAACAAGTCCCCACAAGTGAGAGTACCCCCTCCACCGACCAGCCTAAAGCCTTCTGTGACTTCCCAGAAGCCTGTGTCCAAATCCATTGTGCTCAGAGCACTGGACACCACACCGGGGTGCTGCAAAGCCCCTGCACAGAGGCCCCCACCTAGCCTTACCTTGGTGCGCCCGTTGATGACGTAGCTGCCCAGCCGCCCTGCGCAGTGGCGGATGACGGCGTCCACATGGGCCATGAGGGCACCAATGCTTCGGCAGCCTGGCTCATGGCCTTCCACCCAGGCAATCTGGTCCCCACGGATGCTGCGCGGCGGGATCGCCCGCTGGCTGACCAGCTGCCCATCTCGAAGGCGCCCACCCCGTTTGAGGGCCTCCACCTCGGCCAGCACGCGGCCACCCAGTGCTGCCCCCAGGAAGCTGTCCTTGACACAGATGCCATAGTACCGCATGCAGGGCACGATATAGTCCAGGGCCAGGCGCTCAGGCGCAGAGGGCAGCACCTCCTCCACCAGCCCAGCGCGGGCCTCACCACTGCCACTGCTGCAGCCGCAGCTCTTACCACCCTCCTGCTGCTCTGCCTCCTGGTTCTCTTGCCTGGCCCAGGGCCGCTTGCTGGATGAAGGGGCATCCCCACCATGCTCGGCCCATTTCCGTTTGGGGGCCTCAGGCCGGGCACCCTGGGCTGCCAGTCGCTGGCACCCCTTGGTGACCAGCGCTGCGGCACCTTCACTCTGCAGCGGCCGCAGCTCACCACCATCCTGCCCACCAAAGCCCTCCCGAAGGGGGCTGGCAGTGGTAGAGGTGGCTGTGACTCTGGGGGTCCCACTCCCTGCTGAGGCCTCACTGGGCACTCCTGGACAGTGGTAGGAGGGGAGCAAAGGACAGGGCAGGTAACTCTCCACCCCCATCCTGGCCCGGCCAGGCTCCAAGGGCTCTGACGAAGACCCCGGTAACTGAGGGAGAGCCTGACTTAGGGGCTGTGGCTGGCACGGGCTGTCCATGGCAGCAATGTCTTCATCCCCCGGGCATGGAGGGCACCGCCCGGGCCCATGGTGCCACCCTCCTCCGCCTACACTTGATGCAGCTGGGGGCCACCGGGCCTGGCGTGAGGCAGGGTGAGGCAGGGCAAACAGCGAGAGCTCTTCTCGTGCCCCGGGGATTGCTTGCAGGTCCCCAAGTCCTCCGCCGTCCCTAAGGGCTTGGGAAGGGACCCTTCAGGGTGGCTAGAGAAAGGAAAAAAGAGGGATGTGAGAGGAGCTAGAGACGGGCAGGCAGGGGAAAGGGGTAATGGTATGGGCAGCAGCGGGGAAGACAACCAGTACAGACTTGGCTATAGAGACTCCCCAAAACCTGAGGCCAAGTCTGGGAGAGGACCCTGACAATCTGGGGGTGCGGGAGTCTGCTGACAGTTAAGGGCAGTGATGCGGAGAGGCTGGAGGCCAGAGGCTGGGTAGATGACCCCAAGACAGAGGATTGTGGGGCAGGTTGTGGGATGCAGTAACCACACGCAGGGGGGTAGAAAAGGGTGGTGTGGAGAGGTGGGGAAGAGGGGGTTTGCGAAATACGAGGGATCTGCCTTGGCGTTCCAGAGAGACACAGAGAAATGTGGGGGATCCAGGGACAGAGTTGGGGGTGGCGGGGTCAACGGAGGAAACTGGGGAGTCCAGGGACAAAGGGACCCAGGGACCGAAAAACAGACCGGAGGGAAGCTGGGAGGGAGGGCCCGGGACGGAGCGGGGCGGTGGGGTCGACCCGAGCCCGACGGGAGGAAGCCGGCCGGGGGCGGACACACATCCAGACGGAAGGGAGGTCCCAAGACCGACCGACGGGAGGGGCCCTCGGGGAGAGGGTCCGCGGCGACAGAGGGAAAACCGAAGGAGGCTGCACGCACCCCGAGACAGGACGAGGGAAAAAGTCACCCCCCTCCGGGTACCCCCACGCCCCCCACCCGGGACCGGCCCTGAGACCCCTTCTGAGCGCTGTAGGCGACCGGGGCAGGGCCTAGGGACGGCTCGGACCCCCTCCCTTCCCCCTCCCCTCGGCCTAAGCCCAGCTCGCGCTCCCCGCCCCCGCCCCTGCCCCACCCCCCAACCGCCCGCACCCAACATCCCCGGCGCGCGTCCCCTCCCCCGCGCTGCACCCCCCATCCCTCTCCCAGGGGTAGCACCCGCGGGCCCCGGAGCGCGCCCCCACGCCTCGCCCGGCTCGCGCCGGCGCTCCTGCTCCGACTCTATCTCCTCCCCGCTCCCTTCTCGTCCCGCAACCTCCTCACCGAGGTTTTTCCTCCGGCCCCGGCGCCGCCGTTTGTGCCAGCCGCCCTGCGCCGCACAGCGCGCCATGCCCCGCCCCCACCGCGCGCGACGCCCCGCCCCGCCTCGCCCGGTGGGCACGTGACCGCGCCCCGCGGAGGGGACAGCGCCTGCGCAGGCCCGAGCCACGCGGGGCGGGGCGAGGAAGTTCGGGACCACCCCTCAACACCCGGGCGAAAGGAAACAGGGGTCCTTGGCCGACACGAGGTTCATTTGCATCCTCCGCCCCGCCCCCTTCGAGCGGGTGGGGGAACGCAGTGAGAGGGCCCGGGTGTGGGAGGGGGCGTTTCTTGCTAGTTGGAATCTAGCGCCGTCGGCGGGGCGGGGCACGCAAATGATGTGATTTACATGGAGAGGCCCACTCCCCCTCCCCCTGCACGGAGCACCGGGGCCCGGAGCGCGATGCGCGTGACTTCATTTACATGGTCAGCCCCTCCTCCTCGCTGCCCAGGAACGGGAGTGAGAGAAGGAGAAATGGCTGCGCAGTTAGTTGGGAAACGTATGTAAATTCGCACGTCAGTAAATAATTTACAGAAGTATCTTTTATAAGTGCCGGACGCCCTTGAGAGAAGGGAACGCGGACTAGAATGGATGTGCAAATGTGTATTTTAAAGACACGCTCCGCCCTGCCCCGTGGGAATCAGAATAAAGAACCAGGGAAAGCCTGGGCAACAGAGCGACACCTTATCTTTACACAAAATTTTTAAATGAAAACAAAAAAACCCACGGAAAGCTACACGTAGAAGACATTTGCATGACCAGCTGGGAACATTGTGGGGGAATACGGAGAGACGGTCATTTTGAATACGCTGCCCCCACCACCATCGCTCTGGAGAGTTGGGACTCAAGGCTCCCGGCGCCGGTGAAGGGGATCGTAAGGGTGGGAGAGCAACGAGCAACTGGGAGTGTCCTCAAAGGGCTGCACCAGTCCCCAGGAGGCCACCTGAGTGGGTAGGGAACGGTGCGTGAGCACAAGGACTTGCATACTGGTATCCACACATGCATGACGATTGCACAGAAGCCCGCAGTCCTGAGGGCACACACAGGGTTCATGGCCACACAAGGGTGTTTCTTGTTTAGTTTTGAAATGGGGTCTTACCCTTTTGCCCAGGTTGGAGTGCCGTGGCACAATCACGGTTCACTGCAACCTCAACCTCCCAACTAAAGTGATCCTCACACCTCAGCCTCCCGAGTAGCTGGGACTTCAGGTGTGTACCACCACGCCTGGCTAACTTTTGTTTTTTTCTTTTTGAGACAGTCTTGTTCTGGCGCCAGGGTGGAGTGCAGTGGCGCAATCTTGGCTCACCTGCAACCTATGCCTCCCGGGTTCAAGTGATTCTCCTGCCTCAGTCTCCTGAGTAGCTGGGACTACAGGCACGCGCCACCACGCCCAGCTAACTGTTTTCCATTTTCAGTAGAGGCGGGGTTTCACCATGTTGGCCAGGATGTCTGGATCCCCTGACCTCGTGATCCACCCGCCTTGGCCTCCCAAAGTGCTGGGATTACAGGCCTGAGCCACCACTCCTGGCCACACATGGGTGTTTAAAAGGAGCCAAATTCACACCAAAACACACACAGTTCTCAAGAGCACACATGCACAGGCACACACACAGTAGTGAGTCACTGCCTACGACTTTCAGTCATGAGACATAAAGACTAGAGGCACACCTATAGGCCCAAATTCCCATCACCTGGCCTTGATGTCCCAAACAATACCAGCCTCACCAATGCAGTCACTGAGGCCACAGAGCACAGCTATCTGCACCGCACACAACCAGCACACATTCCTGCAGACATCATCCCATACACAGGTTACTGGAAACATGTATGCATGTCACAAACACATGGATATCGGCGTGTTGACACACTTCAGCCTGGAACACAGATTGTCACACACTGTCCACTGAGTAACAAATTCCCTCCCTCTGCAACAGGCACCTGAGTCATCATGCTTGGTATACCCCTTACTATATCCAATCCAGAAACAAGGCCCCCAAACACCATGACCCATGAGTCTTCTGTCAGGGACCTCTTCCATCTCCCTGCCATCCAGGAATAACGGAGGCCAAGACACAGGTGTAAACAATGCTTTATGGGAGTAGGGTGGTGCTGGACAGGCCTCCAGGTAATAAATAACAGGTACTAGCAACAGCGGGGCCAGGCAGGCAGCTGGGGACAAATGACCCTGGTCTCAGGCTTTGGGAGCTCTTGGGGTATGGTTAGGGGTTCAGGGGGAGAGAGGTTAGCCAAGACAGAGGAAGCAGCAGCAGGTAGGGGTTCCCCCTTTCCCCGTGGCTCAGTCTTGCCCCAAAGCCAGGCCCCACCAGGCCAGGGAAGGCGGACAGGTGGTGGCGCAGCTCCTCTGGGGCCACGGCAGGTTGGGACATGGCCTCTCAGAGCCTGGGCCTGGCCCCCGGCCGGAAGGGCAGGGCTGGTCCTGGAGAACAGGTGAGCTGAAAGAGAAGGGTGTGGTGACCTGCAGGGTCCTGAGGTCTGTCCAGCTTGCCTCTGTCTCATTTCCAGGTATTTCCCTGCCTATCTGTATTGGTCTGTTCATACCTTTCTTCTCGTCTGATTTTCTCTCTCCTGCAGGTAAGTTGGGGCTTATGCTGAGGGTACCTGCATCTCCCTGTTTGTTTGCCTCAGAGAGCTGAGTCTGTAAAGCCAGATTTCAACATCTAATAAAAAACATGTATCTGGGGTGGATCACGAGGCGGGTGGATCACGAGGTCAAGAGATGGAGACCATCCTGGTCAACATGGTGAAACCCCATCTCTACTAAAACTGCAAAACATTAGCTGGGCATGGTGGCGCGTGCCTGTAATCCCAGCTACTCAGGAGGCTGAGGCAGGAGAATTGTCTGAACCCAGGAGGCGGAGGTTGCGGTGAGCCGAGATCGCGCCATTGCACTCCAGCCTGGGTAACAAGAGCGAAACTCCGTCTCAAAAAAAAAAAAAAAAAATATCATGTATCTGGCTAGACGCAATGGCTCATGCCTGTAATCCCAGCAGTGTGGAAAGCCAAGGAGAGAGGATCACTTGAGCCCAGGAGTTTGAGACCAGCCATAGGCAACACCACAAAACCCTGTTTCTACAAAAAAAAAATACAAACATTAGCCAGGCATAGTGGCATGCGTCAGTGGTCCCAGCTACCTGGGGGGCTGAGGTGGGAAGATCGCTTGAGCCTGAGAGGTGGAGGTTGCAGTGAGCTCGTGCCACTGCACTCCAGCCTAGGCAACAGAGTGAGACTCTGTTTCAAAAAAATAAAAATATAATGAACCTGCCTTTGTATCTCTCTGTGTCACTCTATGCTCCTGAATCACCCTGATTCTTTTTTTTTTTTTTTAAATAGAGACCGGGTTTCACCATATTGGCCAGGCTGGTCTCAAACTCCTGATCTTGTGATCCACCAGCCTCCACCTCCCAAAGTACTGGGATTAAAACTTTGGGATGCTGAGGTAGAGGACTGCTTGAGGCCAGGAGTTTAAGACCAACCTGGCTAACACAGTGAGACCCTATCTCAAATTTAAAAAAAAAGGGGGTGGGGGAAAGAGGCCAGGTATGGTGGCTCCCACACGTAATCTCTGCACTTTGGGAGGCTGAGGTGGGTGGATCGTTTGAGCTCAGGAGTTCGAGACCAGCCTGAGAAACATGGTGAAATCCCATCTCTTCAAAAAATAAAAACATAAAAATTAGCCAGGCGTGGTGGTGCACACCTATAGTCCCAGTTACTTGGGGAGCTGAGGTGGGAGGATCACTTGAGCCCAGGAGGTCAAGGATGCAGTGAGCTGAGATGGTGCCACTGCACTCCAGCCTGGGTGACAAAGTGAGACACTTCTCAAAAAAAAAAGAAAAGGGAAAAGAATGTTATATTGACCAACAGAAACAGAAAACAAATTGGTAGTTGCCAGGGGCTGGGGGAAGTGGAGAGTGACTGCTTAATGGGTATGGGGTTTCCTTTAGGGTAATGAAAACGTTTTGAGGCTGGATGGGTAGCTCACACCTGTAATCCCAGCACTTTTGGAGGCCAAGGCAGGCAGATCACCTGAGGTTGGGAGTTCAAGCCCAGCCTGATCAACATGGAGAAACCCCGTCTCTAGTAAAAATACAAAAATTACTGGGGCATGGTGGCACACGCCTGTAATTCCATCTACTCCAGAGGCTGAGGCAGGAGAATCGCTTGAACCCAGGAGGCAGCGGTTGCAGTGATCCAAGATCACGTGATTGCACTCCAGCCTGGGTGACAGAGTGAGACTCTGTCTCAAAAAAAAAAAAAAAGAAAAGAAAAGAAAACGTCTGAAACCAATGCAGAGGTGGTGGTTGCACAACCCTGTGAATGCACTGAATTCCACTGAATTGTACACTTTGAAAAGTTACATCAATTTATGTTACGTGACTCTCACTTCAGTGACAAAAAACGAAACAATACTGGTGGTAGGAAAATGTGTGTTTGAGTTTTATAGATGGGTGGGATCTGCTACAGTCAGTCCTAGATCAACATGTAAAATATATTTCCTCCTGCAGATTGCAATCAACAAAGTATGAAAAAGCCTTGCCTTGTTACATTTGACCTACTGAGGGCAAGCTCTAGGAAAGAATCTCTGCTAAGCCTTCAGGCAAAGACGACACACCATTCATTTGAGCTCAGCCCAAAGATGGATAAGAAGAAAACTTCAGCCGGGCGTGGCGGCTCACGCCTATAATCCCAGCACTTTGGGAGGCCAAGGCAGGTGGATCACCTGAGGTCAGGAGTTCCAGACCAAAGCCTGGCCAACATGGAGAAACCCTATCTCTATTAAAAATACAAAAAATAGCCAGGCGTGGTAGCAGACACCTGTAATCTCAGCTACTCAGGAGGCTGAGTCAGGAAAATCACTTGAACCCCGGAGGAAGAGGTTGCAGTGAGCTGAGATTGCACCATTGCACTCTAGCCTGGGAGACAAGAGCGAGACTTTGTCTCAAAACAACAACAACAACAACAAAAAGCAGCCCTCAATGATCAAGTCTTGACCATCAGGCCCCATTTGAAGCACTCTGCATGAACTGACTTATTTCATCTTCTCGCCACCTATAGAAGTA